TTCTTCTTTCTATTCATTTGCTTTATCATCAGAAGATGGTGTTAATATTTTTGATAATCAAACAGGAAAACTTCTTGGAGGAATTGTAGTTGAAGCAAATTCATTAGGAACTGATGGTGTTGATGTTTATTGTGGAGGAAAAAGTCAATATTGTCTTGATATGAAAATGTTTAAAAAAAGATGGGAACTACCAAGAAGTGGAATATTAACAATGAAGAATGGTATTGGTATTATTAAAGATTTATCAACAATTTCTGCAATAGATTTAAATGGAAAATATTTATGGACAATGGAAAAGAAGGGAGTAAATTGTGTTGAATTGTCAGACGATGGTCAATATTTTTTGTTAGGATATCAAAATGGTTCAATTGATTTGTTCCAAAGTCAAACAAGTACTCAATTATGTACTTTAGAAAGACTTCATGATGAACCAATTACTGCTATGAATTGGTCATCTTCTCAACTTCAATTATTAACAGGAAGTAAAGATGGGTTAGTTATGAGATGGGATTATTTTAATAAACCAGAAATTATTAATACTGACGAATGGGAATAAAATAACAAGTAATAAACATTAAGATTGACTTTTAGAATTTGGAACTTTTCTTTATGAAGGGATTTTTTTTTTTTTGTGTGTGTGTGTTATTTTTTATTTTGTTTATTGGTGTTTTATTACCTTCTTTTAAATTAATTTATTATAATGTTAAAAAAAAAAAAGAAAAAACTGTTTTTTTTCTCTAAGAAAATATTGAGAAATAAGAAAATGTAAAAAGAGTTACTAAGAACTCGAAATTGAAGTTTAGAAAGGAAGTGATGAGTCATCAAGACAAAAAGCCTAAGAAAATCTTTTCATTAAGAGAAAGTTTAAAGGATAAATGGAGATTAATTTATACATTCTTTGATGAAAAGAAACATGAATTTTATGACACCGAACTTATAACCGAAAATAAAGATGGAATGATTCAATCACTTAATGATTTTGCAGAACGAATTGAAAATGATATTAAGAAAAAAAGAGAAATTGATTCTAATGAAGTTAAAGCATATTTAGTTATTTTCTATGCATTACTTATTTATTTCCCACAACTTCCTTCAACAACAATAGAAACATATTTAAGTTTGTTTAATTTAATAGAATAACTTTTCATTGAAATAAAAAAAAAGAAAGAAGAGTTAAATTAATAAATAGATAAAACTGAACGTTTTTTGGCACCAAAAGTACCTAATTCAATTAAAGTATTTGCATTTGAAGTTGTAATATGTTGTATAATAAAACCAGGATATGAAACATATTTATCAAAATTACTTGAATATATTGATTTAAATACATTTTCAACAAAAATTTTAGATTTACCATCAATGCCTACAACTGAATTTACTTTTACAGAAGAAGTAGATGAAAAAAATCAACCAATTGTTCAAATGAAAAATATTGAATGTTCTATTGCAAAATTAAATATTTTCTTTCAAAGACTTTTAACAGATATGAAATCATTTGAAATATTATTACCAACATTTATTCAAATATTATTATTAATGTTTCCTAATACTGCACCAGAAATTACAAATAAATTAAAAGTATTTCCACAAGTTCCAGCTAAATTATTATTAGTTATTTGTGAAAATGGAATATGTAAAATGAATGTTAATCAAAGATTAAGAATTATACAATCATGTCCATTCTTTCCTTTAATACTTAAATTAATTCTTCAAGAAAGTTTTGCTTTAGTTCTTGAAGAACCTCAACTTCTTTTTGTTATTCGATGGTTTTTTTCATTTCTTTTAGATCCAGTGAATTCAGTTACATTAAGTAAATTAAATGGTCAAACAAAAGAACAATTTAATAATTTATTAAATTCAATTATCAAAACAACAGAATCATTTTATATTTTAGTCCCTTTAATTACAAGTTATCCAGAAGTAACATTAACTATTGATGGAAAAGTAATAAAGAAAGATGTTGTAGAATTTTTAAATGAATTCTTAAATATATTTATTGTACCATCACAAACTGTTCAAATTAAAGAACAATTAAAATTAAGTTTACAAAATTCATTAAAATTATATTATCAACGTGCTTTTGAAGCAAAAAAATTAAAATATGGTTATGTTCATAAAAGAATTACTTCTATTACTAAAACTCTTTTTAAAACTTGGATTTCTTGTCCTCCTAATGATACTGCATGGGAAGAACTTCAAACAACATTTATTCCTCTTATGGCTATTGAAGGAGTAATTAATGTTGTTGATTCATTTTTTACTCATATTACAATTTGTTTATTAAATATTCAATATCCACAAAAACCAAATGATCAATTATTTACAAAAACATATGATAATGTTATTGAACCTATTATATTAAATGAAGAATTAAAACAAATTACAACACCATTATTTAAAGAAGATATTGTTAGAATATGGAAATATTTATGGAAATTTATTGATATATCTGTTGATATTCCTAATGAAGAAAGAGCAGAACGATGGCATAATGTTATGTTTAAATCATTACAAATAATTCTTTTTTATGAACAACGTTGTGGTCCATCTAATTTTGAACTTCATGATATAATTGTACCATATTTATTAGCTACTGCTTCTAAACATCATTTTAAAGAAAATAATACATCACTTTGTCAAATATTATGTAGAAGATATCCACAATATACTGATAATATTAATGCAGTATTATTAGGATATCTTAAAAATGTTATTCAACAAGGAGATTTTTCAATATTAGCAGATATGTATGATTTATTTACTACTTCAATTAAAGGAAAAACTTCTATTCTTAATGATGTTTTAATTTCTCTTAGATGTCTTACAATAGAACAATCTAATTCAATGGAATTAAATCAACAAATAAGAATTGCTTCTTTACTTCATTCATTATTATTTTATTCAAAAATTTATCCAACTATTAATACTTTATTATCAGATAATATGGGATATCAAGATATTTTAACTTTATGTTATTCTAATTTAATTCAAATTTTTACTTCTCCTGAAATTCAACAAACTTTATTATGGGGAATTATTGTTAATTTATTAAGTGCTTGTGAAGCTAAACGTCCAAATGATGAATTAAGAGTACTTTGTGATATGTTTCTTCAAAAAACAGTTCATTCAAATTTATGTTTATGTAAACAAGCAATACGTTCTTTAAGAATTATTTCAAGATGTTCAGAAATTATTCCAAATGAAATATTAACTTATATTGCTGAAACACTTTTAATATTTATTTCTAATAATACAATGGATGATGCTGTTATTCCAATAGCTCTTGAACAATTAGAAGATTTTATTTTAGTACCAAATGGTGTATTAAGTCAAGGAATATCTGCTGCATTACAATCAGTATTAGTTCGTTTATCTGATAATACAAATACTTATGTCCAACAATTTATTCTTTTAATAGAACATTATTTCAATAGAAAAATTGGTCTTCCTTGTTGTGATGATTCATTTACACGTGATGTTTATTTCATTGGAAGAAATAAAGTTACAAGTGAAAATGAACATTCATTGTATATTATGCAAAATAATTCTATTTTTTCATTTACTGATAATGGAAGTAATGGTGTTGATGTTGTTGTTAGAAATTTATATGGAACATATCATTGGATTATCTCTTCAATAGAAAGAACAGAAGAATTTACAACAAAAGAATTTAATTTTAAACCTGAAAATTTATCAAATGAAAATAGAATTTGTCCTTGTGATGGATCTTTTGAAATAATTTCAAGTGGAATGAATGATTTAGGTGAAAATATTGAAAAAGAAATGAAAGAAGAATTAATGAATATTGAAACAAATGCATTAAAATTAAATGCTAATATTTTAAAATTAAGTAATAAACCAATTGAAGCAGAAACTAAGAATATGGAAATTACAAGTAAATGGGATTATATTCAAAGTTTAGAATTATTGACAAATACTAAAGATCCTATTATTCAATTAACAAATGATAAAAAATTAAAACAATTATTATTTAAATTAGATTGTCTTCCTATAAGAAAAAGATATGCTTGTTCTTTAATTTATTTCAATTCAGATTCAAAAATGTCTTTATTTAATGAATGTTCTCCTCAATTTACTGAATTTGCTGGTTCATTAGGATATTTAGTTTCTAAAGAATTATTTGTTGGTAATTTCCCAAAAGAATGTGAAAAAGCTTATTATTATTCTGATGAAACTGTAGAAGTCACTTTTGCTCCAAGTATTTATTTTAAACAACCACCACTAAATTCCATTTCTACTTCATGTGTTGTTGTTTGGAATGAAAGTGAATTAGCTCTTGATACTTCTTTATTCCCAAAACCATCTACTATTATTGAAATTCATCCAAGAGATGATGGTATGTTTGTTATTGATATGTGGAGAAATGCTACTGTACCTGTCAGTGTTATTGACCTTACTGGTCCTTTACAAACCAGTATGGTTGTCCCTAAAAACTTTTTACCAATTCTTGTAAGAGAGACTGTTCTTAATATTTGTTATTTCAATTCATCTAGTCTTTCTCAGTTACAACTGAGACAATATGTATTTTCTGAAATTGGAACTACAAGTGATTTAGTTAAAAAAGCATTTTCATCAATCACTGCTTTGGAGTTGACTTTGTAATTGAATTCTTTTTTATTTCTTTTGTTTTTTTTTGTTGTTGTATTTCACTTTTATTGATTATTTATTGTTTGAATTATTTAAACATTTCTTCTTATTTCTTTCATTAACTTCTCTTCTTCTTTTCATAATTTTTATTTATACTTTTCTTCTTTGTTTATTTTTATTAATGTTCATTTTGATAATTATTATATTTAATCTCTGTCATTAATACTTCTTCATTGTTTCTTCTACTTTTGATAGTTTATTTCTTCTTTCTTTTTGTATTTCTTCTATTCTTTCAATTCTCTTTCATGTTTTATCTGTTTTTCTTCTTCCATTTCACTTAATTACTCTTTGTATCTTTCTTTTTCTATTTCTTCTTTCATTCTTCATCTATATTGTTGTTCTTTGTTTCTTTTATACTTCATTCTCTGTCATTTCTTGTAATTTTTTTTTTGACTCTTATATTTTTTTTCCTTTGTTTTGGTTATTCTTATAATAATGTTCATATTTAACATTCTACCTTCATATGGTATTTATGTTTTTCCCAACTACTTTTAATTCCACTGTGAGTGTGTTTAAAATGAGAGTTGATTATGATAGTTATAATTATGATACAATAAGAATAACATGATTATGAGTATTATTTTGTTTAATAATGAAGATAATTAAAACCTTGATAACGTTATAACGCATCTATTTATTTCTATGTGGTTTTCATAACATTCGTGGAGTGTAGAAATGAAGTAAAAAGAAGAATTTTAACAATAATAAAAAGAATAATAAAAAATAAAATAACAACGTAAAAAAAAAAAAGAATTTACCAATTTACCATTTATAACAATCTTTTTCACTGTTTCTTGGATGTTCCAAAGCACATAAATTATTATTCCAACATTTATCATCACATTGATACATGTGAGAATCAGCTCTCATATGTTCATACCAAATATCATGTAAAGTTCTATTAGAATGCATTCTTTGTGCTAATGAAATCATACTATTTGGACTTAAATCTTTAAGATTATATTCTTGAGTTGCGTTATAATTAAATTTCCATTGAACTTCAGTTTTATTTAAGTCAACATAATAATTAACATAACTTTGAATAACACCACCTTTAATATCATAGAGTCTAATACTTGGATTAATACCAAGATAAGTATCTAAACTAGGTGAAAGAAAACCAATAACTGTTTTCTTTTTATCTTTACTTTGCATAATTCGATATGTATCTAAATGTAAATGTCCACAAATCATTCCAATTGTAATATCTGAATATTCTGTTATTAAATCTATTAATTTATCATCATATTGATTATACATTTGTTCTGACCAATTATATCTTTCTGAAACTCCTGGACAAATATGTGCAGCAATTATTACTTTTTTATTTTCTTCTTTATATTTGTCCATTGTTTCTTTAAACCATTTAAATTGATCAATTGGGTCTGTATCATTTTCTGTTAATTTATTAAATGTATAATATAAAACTGTATTTAATACAACTACATATGTTTTTTCTTCTTCTTCTGTTCCAATTATTTCTTTTGTATAATATCCTCCTCTTTTAAATGTTTCTAATGCACTTTGTGGAAGCCATCTAGAATATTTCTTTGCTGCATATCTAAACAATAAACTTTTACTTTCATCATGATAATTTTCTGGAAGTGCATCATGATTCC